AGTTTTTGTTGCTGTAGTAGTGCTGTCTTTTAAAAAATATATTTCCTGTTTTTTCTTTCTGATGTATAGAAATAGTTTACTTTTTCATATTGTTCATTTAGCCAGACAATTTGTTAAACTTTCTTCTCTCTTACTATTGCTAATAATTAGTCTATGAATACTGATGTGTTTTCTGTATAAGTAATTATTTCATCTGCAGATAACAGTAGTTTTGTTTCTGACTTCCTGATTCATATGCCTTTAATTAGTCTTACAGCACCGACTCCTAGTATAATGTTGATTTAGAAGTGGTGATGATGGGAATCTTGGGTTATTTCTGATTTTAAAGGCAATGCTTCTGATGTTTCCTTCTTACTTTTTGGTATATATTCATTATCAGGTTAAGGAAATTTTCTTCTAGTCTAATTGGCTGAGAGGTTTTATTATGACTGTTGTTGTTGTTATGTGCTGTCGAGTCAGACCTGACTCACAGCAACCCCTCCTTGGGTTTCTGAGGCAGTATCACTATGGAAGTAGATTGCCCCATCTTCCTTCCAAGGAGTGGCTGGTGGGTTTGAACCACCAGCCTTCTGGTTAGTAGTCCAGTGCCTTAGGCACTACGCTACCAGAGCTCCTTTACTATGACTAGGTGTTAAATTTATCAACTGCTTTTCTGCATCTATCAGGATGGTTTTTCTTCTGTGTACAGGACTTACATAGATTTTCTCATGTTAAACCATCCTAGTATTCCTGTTTCTGGATTTAAGTTACTAATATTTGTTTAACATTTTTGTTTATATACTCAAGAGTGAGGTTGACCTGAAATTTCTCTTTTTCATACTTCTATTTTGCTGCCAAGTTTATACTGGCCTTGTAGTATGTACTGGAACATTCCCTCTTTTTCTAGTCTATGAAAAAAAATTGAGAAAATTTGTTCATTGAAAATTTGGAGAATTTGCCTCTAAAATCATCTGGGGGTCTGATGTTTTCTTGGTAGGAAGATTTTTAACTACAGTTTCGATTTATTTAGTACTTCTCGATTTCTTCAAGTTTTCTAATTTATTTGGGGGCAGTGTGTAGGTTACATTTTTCTTAGACTTTGTCCATTTTGTGTATGTTTTCACGTTCATAGGCATCAAGTTCCTCAGGATTCCTTGATCTTTCTGACTTTCACTGGGTCTGTAGTTTCTTATTGCCGTCTGTAATGAATTTCTTTGAGCCTCTCCCTTCTTGCTTCTTTTGCCCCAGAGGCTATAATACAGATCCTTTCTAGTTAAGAGAGTCTTGCTTTTGATTGCCTTTTTGCTTCTATTTTCTGCTATTACGATAGTTGATTGAGCTTTCTGTTAGCAGTTTCCCTGATACATTTTTTTTTCCATCCTTGTATTTTCTGTTTTCAAGGATCTTTACACTTAAGTGGTTCTCTTGTAAATAACATAGGAAATACATGTTTTTTAAACTGAAAAATTTATTGTTTCAGTCCATAGGCCTAAGTTGGGAAGCCTTCTTCCAGAGACATTTTGCTTTTGTGTTTACTGCTGGCATATAGGTTTATTCATACAAGTTTATTTTAGTCCCCTTGAAAGTCTTGACTAACTGTGAGGGAGTAGCAGGCTTGGTGTCCTCACTGAAGTACAGTATTGGCATTAGCCTTGGGCCCATCTTGCTTTTCCTGGCTGCTTAAAGCTGCAGCCCAGCCATTTAACCTTAGCTATAGGACACATTATTTGGGGTGAGGGTGAGCAGTTGTTACAGATATTTTCAACCTCTTAATGTGGTCGGGGATGCTTCAAGGAATGTTTCTTATGCAGCATATAGTTGTTCTATAATGACAGAGTCCCTCAGAGCACCTATAAGCCGTAAAGCCAGATATGGAACTCTCTTTTTCCCTCCTTATTTTATTTTTATCCACCACACTTACCAGTATCAGATGTACTGTATAGCTGTTTATCTCTTTTCTTTCTTTTGCCACTAGAATGGAAGCTCCGTGAAGGCCAGGGTTTTTCCTGATTTACTGCCATGTGCTCAGTAAATATTTGTTGAATGAATGACTATGGAGCGTGGAGGGAACATTGCAAAATAGCAATGTCATCTTGAACTTTTCCCTTGAAATGCTCTTATATCTCCCTCTATGACCACTGTCACAAGTTAGGGCCTCTTTACTATTTCTTGAACTATTATAGTCTACTTCCAACTATTTCCATAGTGATAACTGCTTCGGAAACCCAAGGAGGGGTTGCTATGAGTCGGATATGACTTGACGGCAGTGAGTTTGGTTTGGTTTTGGTTTTCTTTGTGGTCTAGCCATCCTTTCCAATCCACCTCTCTGCTACCAGAGTTTCTTCCGAAATACAGATCTGACTATATCACTGTCCTGTCTAGGCTTTTCCTTTAGAGTAAATTCTAGTCTTCTTAATGTGGCATTTTATTCCCAGCATCAGTCTCCAGTCCTATTTATACACTGAGCATTCAAAATACTTATAGGCTCTCCCAATATGCCACATATGTAGTTTTATATTTATCATGCCATTACCAATATGGTTACCTGAAGAGTTTTTCTTCTGTTCATGCTTATCAGAATCTTAGTTATCCTTAAAGTCACCCAAAGTCATCATCTTCCCAAAGAATCATTCATTCCTGACACTGTGTTTTGCTATTTTGGTACTTCCCATAATTTGCCTTATATTCTAAAAGACTGTGTCTTTCCTTAGTAGATTTCAAGCCCTTGGAAGTGAAGATCTCTATGTTTTCTTTCATTGTTTCCTGAAAGTCTCCAGTACAATGTTTCACATGTAATGGATCTTTGATAAATAGTTGTCCAACTTGAATTTTGAACATTCAGTTTTCATCTGATTGCTGTTGTTCTCTTTCTGCTATAGTGAACTAAGCCTGTCCTAGTTATCACACACTAATGATAAAACCAAAAACCAAACTCACTGCTATCGAGTCATTTCTGACTCATAGCAACTCGCATTGGGTTTCCGAGGCTGTAAATCTTTTCGGAAGTAGATCACCCAGTCGTCCTTTTGTGGAGCAGCTTGTGGGTTTGAACCTTCCAGTTAGCAGTTAAGTGCCTTATCCACTATGCCACCAGAGCGCCTTTGCACTAATGATAGTAACTTCCAAATTCCTATGAGGCAGTTCCTGTTTCCATCCAACTGGCTGTTATGGCTTGGGCATCTCACCTTACTCAAACTCAGTGTTATCTCTCTCTCTCTCTCTCTGTGTCATCTCCCATCCCAAACCAGTGCTTTGCGTAACTTTTCTGTTACCGTAAAAGACATTATCACTCTTCTAGTCACATAAACTCAAAACCTTGGTGAAATCTTTATCTCCCATTTTCAATCTTCTAATTTCAACCAGCCACAAAGCCCTATTTATTAGTCCTTTAAAATGTTTCTCAGCTCTCTTATTTTAGCTGGCAAGACATTGGACAAAAGTCCTTATCATCTCACATCCATTTCTATTACCCCATCCCCCTGATGACACAATGGTTAAGCACTTGGCTGCTAACCAAAAAGGTAAGAGGTTCAGGCCCACTCAGCTGCTCCAAGGATGAAAGAATTGGCAAGAGAAAGACCTGGCAATCTGCTCCTGTAAAGATTACAGTTTAGAAAAGTCTGTGGGGCTGTTTTCTTCTGTCGTACTGCGTTGCTATGAGTTAAAATCGACTCGATGGCACACAACAACAGTATAAAGGGCAGATACTTCATCTGGCATGAAAGGCCATCTGGAGTCCAGGTTTGTTCTACCACCCCAGCATGTGTCATTTCTGTCAAGTCAGACTTGTTACTGTCTCCTACGTATACCATGTTCATAGCCTTTTCCACCTCCTGTGCTGCCCTTCTCTGCCATTCTAGTTCGTGTTTATTTTTTGGGATCTGGCTGATGGACTACCCCAGTCTTCCAGCCCCATGAATGTTTTCCTTAACAATGGAATCCCTGATTGATCATTTCTACTATCTTTTAAAAAGTGCTTATTGTTTTAATTAAAACTTAAAAAAAAGAAAAAGAAAAAAACCAGCAAATTGGAAGGTATCTTAAAGTAATCAAGTTTAAGCTTTTCAACCAAGACAAGAATCCTGTCTATAGCAATTCATATACAGCTCTAACTTCTAATATTACAAAATTTCTCATTTTTCTTTCTACTTACATAGTAAGCATCTAGAGGTTAGGAACTTTGTTTACTTTTGTTTTTCCTCTTAGTGCTTAGCATGTTCTATGTCCTGGAAGAAACTAGATTAATTGATTGAATAAATGATCCAATAAGTGAAAAACACATACATTTTCTTTCCAGAGGGTTTACAAAGGAGACTTACTTGCCCTAAATAAATAAGTAAACCCTATTCCCACAGCTGCAGTGCTTCCTGACATGTACAGATGAGAACGACTTACATGATGGTGGATACATTTGCAGCCTCCACTTTTCTTTATGTAGTTCTGGATTAGCCTTGGTTTTTATTTCCCTGCTTCTTGAAATAATATTTGGAATTTCTTACTTTTTTGCATGGACTAAAGTTTAAAACATGTATGAATTTTAATGGACTCTGTTGAATGTTGATCATGTTTTTCTATAGTAGTTAAAAATCTCTAGCAAGGAGTGTTCCATTTGATACTTAAATGAAAGTAATTATGTTGTGGTTTGAAATTTTATATAAAATTTTCAACCACATAAACTCTTTGTCATGGACAGTTAGCAGTTTACAATTTATGGGAGTCTTCTTCCCACCCCACCCCCACCCCCGTGGGATGAATAAAAATAGTGGCTATAATTACTTTGTACTTATTTGTGTGATATAATTTTGAAAATGAGGTGTATTTCTGTAGCAAGAATGTTTATATAAAATTAGTATTAATTTTAAGTATGTCAAATGCTTTAACTGTGTAGTGGGTGCTTAAATATTTGATTATAGTTTTGAAGAAAATACAGAAGTGATATTTTTATAAGAACTTTTTTCCCCCTTTTAGAGCATGTCAAAAGAATACACATAGTAATTTGAATGCTCTATTTTTATTTCTAGAAACCAGCAAATATCCTAGTAATGGGAGAAGGTCCTGAGAGGGGGAGAGTCAAAATAGGTAGGTAATTGTGCCTAAAGTAATTTATTAAGAAACTGAAGTGACTGCAAAAATGGTTTTCCCTTTTAATACTCTTATTTAAGTAGTTAGTTTTAAAAGTATTTCTTCACATTATTTTTAGACAAAATGTTGAGAAATGTAGATACTTTATAACCTCTAGTGTTATTCCGAAATAAGATTCTGTGATTCTTAGCAGAGGCATCACTGGGATTTGATAAAAGCAAGCCCATAAAAACATTTATTCCCATATCATATCCCAAGTATGTGTTTACCATTACTCTACACAGTCACCCTAAACGCATTCCCCTAAATCTTAAATTTGTCTCAGCTTTACCACATGTTCTCTCCCTGAAACATTCCTCCCACCTTGACACATGTACCGTCAATGGCACCCCTTCTACCCACACCCCAGGCCTCTGTATCCTGTGCCTGGTACCAACAGATCTTTCCCAAATGAATATAAATGTTCACAGCCTTTCTTACTTTGTATCTTTGTTTAAGGCACTGGAAAGAGTCTTATCTGCATATTAATATTTCCTTTGTAACCCCAAAGTTTCTAACAGAAATCAGTATCATTTAAACCTGTAATAGCTTTGGGGAGAAACTGAGCTAAGAAATCTGTATTTTAATTTCTCTTAATAGAAGTTATAGTTATTGAATGTTCAATGCTTTTAAAATAAATTTTGTTTCATCAGGTGGTTTCTTTGGTATTAGAATATCACACCAGTGGTGACACAAATTGTGGTAACCTATTACTACTTATGCTGTCCTACATCAACCATGTGTGGCCTGCTGCTTGGTCTTCTACTTCTTCAGTTAAATCCCTGTCCCTATCCCTGAAGAAGCTGTTCTAAACCAACTTCTCTTTCTTTAAATCTCTGCTATGAGTTTACTGAGATTCAAATTCATTCGAACATTTGTTGATGTTAATTGTCGTTGTTGTTATGTGCCGTGGAGTCAGACCCAACTCATACCGACCTCTCCTTGGGTTTCCGAGGCAGTATCACTACGGAAGTAGATTGCCCCATCTTCCTTCCGAGGAGTGGCTGGTGGGTTTGAACCGCCAGCCTTCTGGTTAGCAGTCAATGCTTTAGGCACTATGCTACCAGAGCTCCCTGATGTTAATTAAGTACCACTAAATAGTTGCTAAGAAGCTCTGGTGGTGTAGTGGGTAATGCATTTGGTTATTGAGCAGAAGTTCATTGGTTGAAACTCACTATCTGCTGTGCGGGAGGAAGACGAGGCAATCTACTTCCATAAAGATTTATAGCCTTGGAAACCTAGGAGGGGTTGCTGTGAGTCTGAATGGACTCAGTGATAGTGGGTGTGGTTTTTATGGTTTAGATAGTTGCTTTCCTTCTCTTGCCTTTTCCTTCCCTTTTTATTTTCCCTTCACCACTCCTCACTACTTCTTCTCGTATGAGAGTGAATGGTTTCGTGGGCTTGCTTCTTTTTATTTCTCTCTCACACTCTTATAGGCATTTATTGAGTACTTACTTCTTGCTAGACAGTAGTGAAAGGGAGATAACAGATGCTCCCGCGTCCCACCCTGTGAGCAAAACAATAAAGTACACAGTTTATTATAGTGTGATACATGCTATCACATGTTACTTCATTTGTTTCATACAGCCACCCTGTATGGTGGCCATTATAGATAAGAAATGCCAGATTGAGAGAGGCTGCAGCTTGCTCAGCCTTTCAAAGCGAGGACTTGAATTCCAAATCCAGAGTGTCTTTCCCTACACATACTGCTGCCCAGTGATAGCAGACTATCTGGTGTGACCTCACTGACCCCCACTTTTCCTCAGCACAGCTTTGCCTTTGAAACAGTTTCACAGTGACTCTGTTTTCCCTAAGCCCTATCTACTAGTGTGCTTTCTAGTTTCCAGATATCTCCCTGCCCGTACTTCAGCTCCTCAGATGACAGTATGTTCACTTCCTCCCTTCCCAGGTTTCTCCTCTTCACCTCTTAACATTCACAGTCATCTTCTCAACCTGAAAAGACATCTTTTTATATCCACTTGTCTTCTTTAACATTTGTTCTATTTCTTTTTCCCTCTCTTGTTCCTTTACTTCTGAAACACATGGTGCTCACCCATTGATTCCACTTATTCCAATTTGTTAGAATCTGGCCTCTGATTCCATCCCTGTATTGAAACCTCTCTCTTAGGGCACTTGTGACCTCATTTCTACCAAATCAAGTGAGCTGTATTTGGCGATCATTCTCCTTTATTGCTTTAAGCGATTTGTTCTTCTGACCAACCTGGCCTTGAGACTTGACTGTCTTCTCCTTGGGCTACGTACATCACATAATTCTGTTTTCCTACCTACAGTTCTTTCTGTTATTTCTGCATTCTGTTGATTATTGCCTCTTACTATAATTAACCCCTTGCTTTAAGACACTGTAGGCATTGACTTGACCCATGGCTTCCTTTTACCATGACTTCTTTAAGGAATTGACAAATCATTATGACCTCAAAATCTGGTATTCTGTGTACATGATTCGGAGATTTGGATCTCAGATTCTCTTCTCTCATCTTCACTGAGTGAGGTCTTTATCTCTATTTGGATGTCCTGCTGTCTGTCATCCTTTACGCCATTGTCCTGAAGCAAACTTACCATCTCAGACTCTCCTTTGTCTGTACTAGTCATCACATTTATCCCAGTCACTCAAACTTATTATCTTCTCCTTACTGCTCTCAAATATCTTCGTACTCCTCAACGTAACCTTGTATTCCAGCCAGGCCAGTTAGTTGCCTCACTGTTAAGAGTTTTAGGTTTGTAATTCTATCCAAGATTAGATAGAACCAGGTAAAACCCAGGTTAAAAGTAAGCTGTGATTAAAAATAAAGGTCTGGGGAACAGTCAATCTACTTGATTAAATTGTTTTTAGATTTTGTTTTAATACATTATTTTTAAAAAAAAGTAGTAACACTAATGCCTATCCTTAATACTTTAATATAGCTCTTTTTTGACTTAAAAGCATAGTTGAGTGGGAAATACACCGTGACCTTTCCTGTATCTGATCCTTCCCTACTCTAATAGCCCCACTCCCAGGCCTTACTGAATTGTTTATTGCCAGGCCTTACTGAAATGTTTATTGCCTTTCTTCTTTACTACTAGAATGATTTCTCCTACAATATCTAGCTTGTGTTCCACTTTCAATTTACTTCATGTCTACAGATGTTTATTAAGCATTCTTCCAGATTAGACCATGTAGGAGACATAAACCCTTCCCCAAAAGAACTCAGTATCTAGTAAAAATAGTAGAAACTTTATTTTAATACTTTTTACCCCTTTTTTATTTTCATGTATTTTGCCATCTTGCCTTCTTGTAAGTTTCTTGGTGGTAAACATTATCTTTTGCTGCTTTTTTTATCATTTGATAACACCTACTTAGCACTCACACCAGAATTCTACTACCTTTGTCCATTGAATGGAATGATTTCACCCAACTACATTGTTATTGGAAACATATATTACTAACAGTGATATGTCCATAAACAGTCATATTTAGTTTTAGGAACATAACTGTTAGTAATGTTTATGCTACTTACTTTTAGTATGAATTAGTAATTATTTGAAAAAATAGTTGGAAACTCTATTAAAGCTATATAACAGATAGGAATTGATTGTAAGATTATTTTATTTCCTAGTGGCCTGATTTCATCTGACAGTGAGTAAATGGAGCTTAGGTCAAACTAAGCAAGTAGCGTGTTGATTGTGGTTCCAAGTAAAATAAAATCTTTGACAACTGAAAAAAAACTAAGCAAGTAGAGAATATGGGGAAAAACATTGGGTTTAGATTTTATTTAAAACAATGAAATGCTTTTCAGTGGACGACATAGCAATCTGCTGTATTTTTTTGTCATCAATAACAGTCAGCCTCTATTAAATACATTGGGCAGTGCTTTGAAGTAAGTGCCGTATTGGAATGATCTTGAATAGCTCGGTTTGTACAGGGAAATTAGCTAAGAAAGAACAGGCATCAGCACAAGCTTCCTTGGACAGCTTTATTTTTTAAGACTGAGGTTTTCCGAAGCATTTTCAGGAAGTCTTGTAAATTATTAAAACTCTAAGGAAACAAAATCACGGTAAATTAAAATATTAATGTGTGTTATCATAGCACATTAGTTTAAGATTGATACTCCATAGTTAAAACTGTTATGTGTTATTTGAGCAGGGGCCTCTTATAGAATCAAATACTTTGTATATTATATATTTCAAATTATAGAGGCTTATCATTCTTGTGACACTTGGCCTTTGTCACTTGCAGTTATCGTATGTATAGTTTATTATATGTCAGACCTGTGGTTAAGAATATAACTCCTAAGTTATAGCATGGTTTCTTTTGAGTGTTGGCATCTCTGCTTAATATCCTTGTGACCATGGGCAAGCCATTTAATTCCTTTGGCCCTTTAGATTTTTCATCTCAGAAATGAGAGCAAAATACTTAACTAAAACTGTTCTTATGCGGGTAAAGATGATACATGTGAAAACTGTAAAGTGATTTATGTTGTTAGATTAGGTGGCGTTGAGTCATGTCCAACTCATAGTGAACCCATGCACAGCAGAAGGAAACACTGCCTGGTCTTGTGCCAGCCTCACTATCCTTGCGATGCCTGATTTATAGGTATAAGGTACCTGTACTGTTCTCTGTACCTGTACCTGCACTGCCTCTGTACTCACTAGCACCATGACCTTGGGTAAGTCAGAGCATCTACTTCAGTGGAGGATACTAAAGATTAATGAAGTAATTCCTATCCAGTGCCTGGCGCAGACCACTGGTTAAAAGGGAGGAAAAGGAACTGCCTTACAATGTTAGCGGCTGTTGTTGTCAGCTTTGCATGGTTCTAACAGTGTGTGGAGCTGATACATTAATTTGTTTTATTTTTAGCTGACATGGGTTTTGCCAGATTATTCAATTCTCCTCTAAAGCCATTAGCAGATTTGGATCCAGTAGTGGTGACGTTTTGGTATCGGGCTCCGGAACTTCTGCTGGGTGCGAGGCATTATACAAAAGCCATTGGTAAGTTATTCTGAAATGATTCATTATCTTGGCATTGTACTACCATACGTACCAAATGGTATAATAATAAAGCTACTTGGTAAAAACCACTTTATGGCTCTTCGTAAAAGTCCTCTTGTCACCTATATACCTAGATTTTACCTTCTGGTAGTTTTGGACTTTTAACTCTAAAAGTAAATATGTTTTTCTTTTTCTTTTTTAAAGGAAAGCTTATTCTTTTAGAGAGTAGAGGTATCTGATCCTGTTGAGTTGCTATGGAAACAATAATGTACAAATTTTATTTGTACTTACTACCACAGCTTTTGATAAGGAGCTCTAGTGATGCCGTGGTTAAAGCATTCAGCCGCTAACCAAAAGGTCAACAATCCGAACCTACCAGCTGCTCTGCAGGTGAAAATGTGGCAGTCTGCATCCATAAAGATTTACAGCCTTTGAAACTATGGGTAGTTCTGCTCTGTCCTAAAGGATCACTATGAGTCAGAATTGATTTGATGACAATGGGTTTCATTTGGTTAGCTATTGATAAAAGAGCTGGAGAGAGGATTAGAATTGTTTTCTTCACCAACAGAAAAACAAGACTAGTGTAGTAGTTGGCGACTTGAGCCCCTTCTATTTAGGGAGAAGTTAGCCACATCCTTTCCTAAACAAGATATAATATGACTGATCTTTCTCTCTTGCCATTAGTTTATCAGAACTACAGTTTCTCCATTACGGTAAGAAATAAACGGAGTCTGGGGAGATTAGCAGTGCTCAGCATCCTGCCATTTAACCTAAAAAAAGAGAAAGAAGCTAAGAAAACCTGTTATAAACACTCTCTCGGTAGGATTTAAAGTCTGCTTTAGGACAGAGGCTTCAGAGATTTTATTACCTGGTCACTACAGTGTCCTCAGAGAGCCTTTCTGTGAATTGAGAGACTCATGAGGAAAGCCCTCCTCAGGCTCACAGATCTCTTCAACCCTTTCATAACCCAATTAGTTTCTACTTTATAGTTGTTGTTGACACCATGAGTTTTCATTAATGGAAGGTATGCTGAATCAAGAAGCATTACTGAAATTTGCTATGAAATACAGATTTTGATACATATTATGTGGGATACATATGTCCCTCTGGACTCTGTACCACCATCCCTGTTGATTCTCTACAACTGAAACCAAAAACCAGACCCACTGCCATTGAGTCGATTCCAACTCATAGCGATCCTCATTGGGTTTCTGAGGCAGTAAATATTTATGGAAGTAGATTGCCCATCTTCTTTCCATGGAGTGGCTGGTGGGTTTGAACTGCCAACCTGCTAGTTAGCAGTCAAATGCTTTAGGCACTGTGCCACCTGAGCTCCTTCCCCTATAATTTAGGGCACCTGAAAATGTATTTGAATGAACAGGGAATCATCACAAGAAACACAACTTCCAAATAATGCACCAAAAAACCCCACCAAACCTACTGCCATCGAGTTGATTCCAACTCATAGCAACCTCCATTGGGTTTCCAAGGCTGTAAATCTACACAGAAAAGGAGCTCTGGTTGTGTAGTGCCTAAGGCATTTGACTGCTAACCAGAAGGTTGGAAGACTGGGCAATCTACTTCTGTAAAGATTTACTGCCTCAGAAACCCAAAACCAAAACCAAACCAAACACACTGCTGTTTAGTTGGACCTGACTCATAGTGACCCCTCCTTGGGTTTCTGAGGCGGTGTCACTACAGAAGTAGATTGCCCAACCTTCCTTCCAAGGAGTGGCTGGTGAGTTTGAACTGCCAGCCTTCTGGTTAGCAGTCAAATGCCTTAGGTACTACACCACCAGAACTCCTTTAGAAACTCCTTTTTACTTTTTACTTTTTTGGTTTAAATCTATACAGAAGTAGACTGCCTGCCTCATCTTTCTCCCATGGAGCAGCTGCTGGGTAGAGCCAGCCTCCTGGTTAGCAGCCAAATGCTTTACCCACTATGCCACCAGAGCTCCTAACAACGCACAAACCAAAAAACCAAACCCACTGCCATCAAATCATTTCCGACTCATCACGATCCCCACTGGGTTTCTGAGGCTGTAAATCTTTATGGAAGTAGATCGCCCAGTCTTCTTTCTGCAGAGCAGCTGGCGGGTTTGAACCACTGTCAAGTGCCTTATCCACTGTCCCACCAGCCCTCCTTAAATAATGCACAGGAACCTGGAAATACACTTAGAAGGCTTATCTCCCAGTGAAAAAAGGCAAAAGACAAAAATTTTGACAAATTACATCTCCAGGATGTATCATCTCATACAATACCCTGTTAAACAGTAATTTGCAACACACATTTCTTAGGCTTCGAACAATTATACCACCCCCCTCCTGATGGTGCCTGTAGCTGCCCAATAACCTCGGAAGAGGAAAATGTAATAGGATGCTCTGTGTCCTGTGGGTTATGATAGGGTTAAAGAGGATAAAAAGAAAGACTAGCAAGAGAGTAAACAGTAACATAATAGTGAAGGGCTAGTTCTGTAAGGACCTGGATCTGTGAAGTGTGTTTCTTCAAATTTTCCTTTTACTGAGTAGTCCATTTACTGATACCAGTATCAGTTTTTTACTACATTTAGTTGCTTTTCTTGAGCGCTATTTAATAAAAGTATAAAATTATTAAAAATAGACAAGCACAATCCTTTCTTTGTTAAACACGCTTAAGGAAAACCTGGTGGCTTCCAAGGTAATTACAAAGGAAGTCTTACATTTGGAAAGATTAGACTAATAATTAACTTGGCCATGAATGAAGAAAGCAAACAAAAATTAGAATATAGTAATTCCTCGTTTATCAGGAAGTTTGGGTTCTGCAAAACTCAGAGCCCCAGAACACACTTATGCTTTGTCCAGGCACTGGAGTCTAGCCCAGTGCCCAAATGTAAGTATTTCATAAACATCGTTGAGTGATTTTATTAACTTAGTGAAAAAAAGGCTCTGAGTGGTCTCAGAACTGTGAGGAGAGAACCAGTGTGTGTTTGACAGTAGAGGAATGTGAGACTGACTTTCAATCCTCTCCCTAGCAGTTAAGCCCGTAGGAAGGGAGCAGATAAGAGATTGCCAGGCACACCCTATCAGCAGTGGCAGTGGCATCCCTCTAAAGAGTGAAGGAAGAGAACTACAGAAAGCAAGTGGAAGGGATTGAGTGGCCCTAAAATGAGAAGGAGCAAAAGCCAGAGCCTGACTATTTACATTCCAATGAGTAACTTTTATTGAGAGGCTGCATGTTTGAGACTTTTGGAACTATACATTTACATTTCCCGTTATTTACATTATCTTTACCCACTATTGAAAACAGTAAAATAAATCTCGTAGATAGTCTTAGAAGCCTTCAGAAGAAGAAACTGAATATAAGCCAGGGAAAGTGGAGCTGGAGTTGGAAGCAGCAGGTGGTGCCCTAGACCAGCAAGGTTGGTGGTTCGATACCCAGGGCAAGAAGTGGGGAGTAGAGGATGTGATAACAGTAGAAATACATCTGCCTTGGGCTCTCACCAAACCACTACTGCAGACAGTCTTTATCTAGAAGAGAGATTAAGAAAACGCAAATGCAGCCAAAAGTTTTTGTTAAACTAAATCACTCCCCACCAAAGTCTGTCCCACTCTGAAAAATTCTTACCGAGTAAGTTCATGGCAAGACCCATTTTTTAATATGCACCGTTAGGTGATTCTGTTGTGTGTGGTCATACTTTGAGAAGCACAGTTTCAGGAATGTTTTCTGATGAACAGCTCCAGCGCTGAAATGAAAGGCGCTCAGGTGATGCAGTGGGTAAGGCATTTGGCTGCTAACCAAAAGGTCAGTGGTTCAAACCCAACAGCCACTCTGCGGAAGGAAGATGGGACAGTCTACTTCGTAAGATTAACAGCCTTGGAAACCTAGTGGGGGGTCGCTGTGAGTCGGAATTGACTTGATGGCAGTGAGTTTGGTTTTAATTTAGTGAGTGCTGAAATGAAAATAGATGGGCTTTTTTTTTAAAAAAAAAAATAAAGATTATTGAGTACGAATTGAAGACCAACTATAATTTTTTCTCAGGGTAAGGAGAACTGAACTGAAATTTTAACCAGCTTGCAACTTACTTGCTCAGTAAATGAGATTTACCACTTCAAGATAAAAACATAATCACTGATTTCTAATTTTATCCATGCCGGATAGAAGTTTGGCGAAAAAGAGAATCTAATGATTTTATATCAGCGGCAGTTTGTGGAGTGACACTCAGAGTGGTGTGTGTGTTTGCATGCATGTGCATGCTAAGCAAAGTCGTTAGTAAAGAGAGCTGAGGAGTGGTGATAGATGGTACAGGGGCCGGATGATTACGTAAAGTTAGCTGGAATGAGGCAAGAAAGCCTAGAGTTTAACTCTGCCTTCTACCCTCAGATTCCTTCTCTTAGCACTTCACAGGGAAATCTAGGTCCTGGTTCCTGTCCTCTGAATAGAGGACAAATCAGAAATCAGCATGATCGGCAGCATGTCAGAGTGCACCGTAGTCCCAGTCGACTCAGAGTAGAGGCAGCCAGCAGGAAGAGAGACAAGACAGTCAGGGGTAGCACGTCAGGGACACGAGTGACAGCCAACATGATGTGGAGGAGAGAAGAATTAAAAAATAAGACACTGAGCAATATTACTGCCCCACTTGTTAGTGATAGATGTTCAAGACAGTGATGACCCTGCTGCCTCATTAAGAATGATTAGGTTATGTTTTATAGCCTCTTAAGATGGCAGGTAATGCTATAATAAAAAATGGGTTATCAAGGGAATATATTCCCATTATCTAGTAGGCTAACTTACGTAGAAGGAAACCATTCCTGAATGAGGTTAGATAAATGAGATCTTATTACATATTTTGTTCCATTTGGCAATTTGTTTTATGAAACCGTATATTGATACTAACTCTAGCTAATGGACATGATTAAACTTATTTCTTATTTAACCCATCTACAAAATATGATCCCCGTATTCGGTAGGCTACTAAATGCTGTAATCCTATACTATATTATCATAGTCCTTGCATTATTACCTTTTTTTAAAAAATATATTTATTAAACACTATTTTCTAAGTGGAAAGTGTGATCTCACAGAAATGAATTCACTTACATTTGGCAATGCATTGCGTATACAGTATTGTAATCTTAGAATATGAATTACAGTTTCGCAGTGTATAAAATCCAAACAGAATGATCTGTAACTGGTGGCTTGAAATAGTTGATAAACCTTTCAAAGATTCCTAATTTCATCCCGTGAGTTGGTAGGTGGGACAGTATCTAGGTGAATATGTTTAGTTAGATGTCTTTCTCCTGGTTTCATGCAATGCCTATATATAGTTATATTATTTATCAGGTACTAGACCTTATAATTTATTGAAAAAACAGAAATTGGTAATCTCTGACAAAAGACAAGTTTTTCCAGATGTTTTAATGTAGTCAGTATTATATGTAGAATCTCATGCTCTTTGATAATGCATTTGGTTGCCTTAAAGGAATTACATCACTATAATTGATGTTAATATTTCCTTGTATCAGTTCTTGGGCATTATGCCCTGTGTTAGGCTATCAACTGAATGCTTCAGTGATTAAATTACTAGTAGTGGTTTAGGAAGGTTTTTGCCTAAATCTAAGGAATTTATTGCTTGCTAAGTTGAGTTTCCTAAGCTTATCTTCATCAGGAAATTTATTAAATGTTTTTAAAGATTTTCAGTCTGATATGTGATGATATAGGTCACGTCATATATATGTTTCTTGTGTATGTATTTTATTTTTTACTGCACTTATTGTACCTTGTATATTTCTTCACTGAAAAGTATTCTTACATGCATGCTGTCATTATACGCAGGAATTAGAACCAAGGAAATATAATAAATGTGTACAAAAACTTGTGTTTCTTCCTTCATAGATATATGGGCAATAGGTTGCATATTTGCTGAATTGTTAACTTCAGAACCTATTTTTCACTGTCGTCAGGAAGATATAAAAACAAGCAATCCCTTTCATCACGATCAGCTAGATCGGATATTTAGTGTCATGGGATTTCCTGCAGGTAATTTATTTTCCTTTTCAAAATCAAGGATATTATAAGTATATTTCTATATTTTAAAACAGTCATAATTATAAGAGTAACAAAGTATTTCTTGTAATTCTCTCTCTCTCTCTCTCTTTTTTTTTTAAATAAGATAAAGATTGGGAAGATATTAGAAAGATGCCAGAATACCCCACACTCCAAAAAGACTTTAGAAGAACAACGTAAGTAATTCTGTATTAAATATAGATTGAAATTTCAATGGGAACATTTAAATCAATTTTTGAAATGTAGATTATTAATTAAAGCCAGAAACTTAGATTGTTTAGCAATGATTTATACCTATGATTTACAGAAGCTATTTTAGATACTGTTAATTCTACATTTAGATTGTGGTTTTGCTTTTTTTTTAAGGGTAACTGATCTTTTAAACACCTCTTCTGTCTTAGCGTGACAAAGATTTTAGTTCAGGGTTGCAGCTGTGATTTTGTCTTTACCTGAGTCATAACTGGTGACTGAAATGCTAGACTGGGAAACCAGGAAGGATGGCAGAAGAATCTGAGAAAAACAAACTAGGAGCGACCTGTACCTTGAGTAGAAACGAGAGATGAGTAAAGGTGGTGGCCTGAGAAGAATTTGTTATAAACATGCACATCTAGAGGAAAAGCGAGAAGCAGCTACCTTTGGGCAGCTTAACAGAACTTTAGGGCAAGATGGCTTGTTGGAACTAAACCAGACATCAGAAAGCAAAGTAGAGAATGCCATTGATCATTTATGGCCCCAATTTCACACTGTCCTTACTAGAGTCATTACCTCTATCCATGTTAAAGAGCACTGGTATTGCTCAGGATGCTACTTGGGCTTTCTTTTCACTGTAGACGTTTTCCTGGGCATTCTCCTCGGCTCTGATGGCCACAGTTTACCATCACTTACACTGATACTCACAGTCGATCTATCCGGCACAGATCTCTTTTTCAAGTTTCAGATCCATTTATGGCCTTATAGAGTACAAACTCAAATGGTTCATAAATACATCAAATCCAACATGTGAAACTGAATCCATCTATCCCCTTAAACCTCTCTTCACACTGTTTCCTATCTTAGGAACACACAGCCGTGTGACTCACCTATTTGTCCAACAAAGACCTGGGAACTGTTCCCAGTCCTTCTTCTGTCTTGCTGTCTTCCATCTCACCCCTAGCATCCAAACCTAGTCAGTTCTTTCTTCAAAATATCATTTGAATCTTTTTATTTCTCTCTGTCTACACTTGTCATTTTTGTTGTCCAGACAACCACTGTCTCTCCTTGAATGCTGCAATGACCTCCTAAGTGGTATTTCTATCTCCATTCTTCATTCCAACTAACTGTCTATACTGCAGTCATTGTCATATGAAAGTTTGATCATGTCACTTACCTCTCACTCACTGCCGTTGAGTCGGATCCAACTCATAGCGACCCCTCCTTGGGTTTCTGAAGCGATATCACTATGCAAGTGAGTTGCCCAGTCTTCCTTCTGAGGAGTGTCACTTACCTAGTTGCTCTTAATTCACATTTGCTTTCAATTCCTTAGTATGGCTCATGAAACCTTGGCTTCCACTTGTCTAGTTTCGTGTCCTCTCCACTCTACTTTGTGTTCTACAGCCCAAGCCTCATGAATTTCTTGCCTTAAATACCTTGAACTTTTTTTTGACTTCTGGGTTTTTACATATGTTATTCCCTCAGTCTAGGATGTACTTTTTCCCCTTTCCTTCATTGAATTAACTCCTGCTTATCCTTTCTATTTATGCTTTAGGTGTTGACTTGGGCATCACTGATGAGGCCTCCCTTGACCTTCCAGGTCTGAATGTAGTGCTTCCTCTCTGTGCTCCTATTGCGTCCTGTGCTGCTTCCGTCAGCACTACTCACCCTGCACTACAGCTAGTTTTTGAATACTTACCTGTCTTTCCCTCTAGATAATATGGATCATGGGTACCATGTGCACCATTGTATCCCCAGGGCCTGGCACATAGTACATGCTCAGTAATTACTTATCAAGTGGGTATTGAATGAAAGTGGTTCAAGTAATGGAAGACACTCCAGTAATACAAAGGATGGAGAAAATTAATGAAAGCACTTAACATTTAACTTAGTATTTAAAGTCCAAATGGAAATTTTTACCAACCAGATTATAAGATAGTGTTTACAATAAACAGAAATAAAAGGAAGTACGTTTTAAAAGATAAATGAAATTAGGAAAGTAATATGAAAAGTTTAGCAAAAATAACCCATACTTCATAAGCGAACATTTCTACACACATAAATGCATGAAACAGAGACGAATTTATTCAGTTAAATGGTATGAACAGTTAACTTGCTTGGCTGCTAGCAGAAGTTGGGTGACTTCTGTTTACCCAGAGGACCCTCAGAAAAAAGGCCGGATGATCTGCCTGTGAAATAGCAGCCGTTCCAAGCCCTGGGGAGCACAGTTCTACTCTAACACACATGGGGTCAGAGTAGCCATCAACTTGGGAACAACTGGTTTAACGAAATCTAAAGCTATCCGGGAATGTAAAATGCAGTACGTGCAAGTCACTAAAATAAAATATAATGAAGAAAAAAATTCCAGAAAATATTATATATTTCAAATGACATTAAAAAGTATAAAAATTCGTTTCATAAGAGGAAATCATTAAGTTGACTTATTAAAAAATGAACGTTCAACTAAACATGTTCTAATAAAAATACTTCATAAAGTATGTGAAGAGTTTGAATTACTGAACTGTAGCAAATGTGAAGAGTATATAATTCAGAAACTGATAAAAGTTCAGCTTAACTTTAATTACTAGGAAAGATAAGAAGAAACCAAAATGGGAAATAAGCAATGAGATCTCAAATTCAAAACCTTTCATATTATGTTAAAAATAAATAGCCTAATCCAAATTGGTAAGGAAGAAGTCAAACTATCCCTATTTGCTGATGATATGATCCTATACCTAGAAAACCCGAGAGACTCAGTCAAAAACCTACTGGAACTAATTGAGAGCTTTAGCATCGTGGCAGGATATAAGATCGACATCCAAAAATCAGTTGGATTCCTCTACACCAG